AGGAAGCGGGGCCGGTGGGGGGGGGGGGGGGGGGGGCAGAAAAACCTTTCCCAGCCCCCCGCAGCCCGGATCCGGCGTGCCTCACCGTCTGTCAGCACAATGATGGCGTGCCGGACTTTCTTCCACGTGTCTGGGTTCTCCTTCTCCTGGAACAGGATCATGTTGTAGACCTCCTGTAGGGCAGCGCCTATGTTGGTCCCTGTCCCATTCCCATGTCCTGCAAGAGGATTCAGGCAGCCTTAGAAGCCGGGGGCTACTCGAGAGCCTGGAACCTGCACTGGGCAATGGGTCAGCACCGAGCAGAATCACCTAGAACCTCTACTACCTGGGCATCTAGCACCAATCCACGCGGCTTGGGTTGAGGGGCCTCCAAGTGGTGCCAAGACATCAGAGAGTAACAGCCCCAGGATTGCCGGGAGGTGACTAAAATTCGAGTGAGATTAAGGGTCCGAGATTGACGCACCTAGAACTGAACTTTTCTCCCAATGCCCCTTGACGTTTTCTTTAGCTTGGGGAAATTCTTCCTCCCCAGGCACTAGATTGAACACGAGTAGGTCTGTAGGTCACCACCGACTTCTAGCCACTGACCAATCCCTCGCTCACATTCTAAGAGCCACGCCAGAGCCACGTGGGGGTGGGGGCGATACTCGAGGCAGCATGTTACCATTGAGCCTTTTCCAGAGCCCTGACGATGGTTTATTCTTGGCGCGGTGAAACCCACCCCCAATGTCCATCTCCCAAGCTGGAGAGAGGCATGGAGGCACCTGGAACCCCAGCAGGTCCCAAGGTCGTAGGCGGTGTAGAAAGACCTAGTGCCCCCCCCACGCGGACCTTGGAAAAGCATCTCCCTCTCGGTCTTTTCAATAACTGCATCCGCGTCCTCCGCTTCAGGGTCATAGATGGCCACAATCCTTTTGGGCGTGCTGGCATAGGAAATCACAGAGAACTGGGAGCGGACTGCGAAGCTACCGATCTGGAGCAGGGGAGAGGCAGGGAAAGGGCAGGAGAAGGAACAGGAAAGTCAACTTGGGCAATGAGCCCCTACCTCAACACAGACACGCCTAGACAAGGCCAGTACCAAGGAACCTAGAGCAGAGAAGGCAGCATCTAGAATTTGCAGTGTCCCCAGCCGCCCTTGTATGTAGAACCAGCATATGGGCACCTAGGACTTCCAGCTGCCGTACAGGCAATGAGACTTCTAGAACAGGCGTAGAGACACCTAGAACTCTCTGCACTCCTTGGTGGCTCTCAAATACCTCGATCTGGTGGGTGGGAAGCCACAATTTGCAGTGGCCATGCCTGCCACTGAGACACTTAGAGGACACCTAGAATGCATAGCATTCATGACTGGCCTCGGGTATGTAGCACCTAGAATGTGTTGTGCTCATTGCTGCCATTGAGGCACCTAGAACCGGAACGCACAGGCAGAGAACTTGTATCGGCCAAGTCTGGCAGCGAAGAACCTTCTGCTGACATATGAGCGCCACGAACTTGTGTGGCCACGGTTCCCATTACTGAGACACCTAGAACATGCAGTGGCCATGGTGCCCATTGTAGAAACACCTAGAACTTGCCACTGCCCCAGCTAGTGGTGAGGTGTCTAGAACCAAGGCTATCATTCCTACCCACTGCCCAGGCCCTCAGCTAGGGAGGGTGGGAGAGGGAGGGAAGGGTTATCGACACCGCTCTGGAGAGAGAGATCCGCTCTGAAATCCACCCCACCTCCCCAACACCCCATGGTACCAACCCCCAACTCCCTTCTCTCCCCACCGCCTCTTGCCACCCCATGAGCCACCCTCTCCCCTTGGCTCCCCCCCAGCCTTCCCCCCCCCCAAGTCAGACTCACGTGTCTTTATGATGGAGCCGTTGTGGCCAGAAGAAGCTGAGGAGGCCGCCAAGCCCAAGACGTTGGAGAAGGAGGCTCCGAACTCAGCACCGACGTCCTCAACCCGGTCGTAGGAGAAAGGGGCTGTGCAGACCGGAGGAAGTGGGGCCCCGTTAGCCACCGCGGGAGGTGGGGGGAGATCCAGGGAGAGGGAGGGAC